ACGAATCTGGATGGGGTTGTGTATTTTGATCATATAGATATGATATAGGCAAGGAGATAAATATTTATGTGTTTTAAAGAAAATTTTGGAGGAAGAAAATACAAGTAAGATACGATAAGAATGAGGTTCTGTATAAGTGAAGTTGATTAGTAAAGTTATAAAGATATAATAAAGATTGGTAATCAGAGATAAGTTTAAGTGATAGGAATAGAGTATGTGAACATGAAAGAAAGATATGATTGGTGTATAAGAAGATTTTGATTTATGAAGGAAATGAAAGGATGAAGTTTAAAGAATCAGATGTGATAAAGGTTATGTTGAGATATAGATTATAAGTTTAACTAGAAGTAAGAAAGGTATGTCAGGTGATATGAGAAATTGTTAGTTATGCAAAGTGTATGTTTAATCAGTTATGATGAAGATTTAAGGTTATGTTTCTTGGTCAAGTGGATGTAGTCAGAGAAATGAAGAAAGATTTATATATATTAAGGAAGTTTTAGAGTCAGTTAAGTAAGGATGAAATAAAAGTTTGGTGATTCTTGAAAGACAATTGAAGATTGACAAGGAATTTGATTGATTTATGAGTTTGAGTAATAATAATTAATGTTATTGTCTATTTGATAAGTGACATGATAGGAGATATAAAGTAAAAAGGTAGTCGAATAATTGAAATGATAAGAACCAAGTTATTAAAGATGATACAAAAGATTAAGTTCAGAAAGCAGAATGAGAACGTTAGAAGATATGTTCTTCTTAGGATGTGTAGTGAAAATTCGAGGACGAATTTTTAAAAGGAGGGGAGATTTGTAACATCCCTAAATATGGGTTAGTGATCAAATTATAAAGTTTCAGAATTTGGTGACTAAAGTAGAAAAATGGATTAGTTCAGTGATTTATTTGGAAGTATTTCCTAAAAGTTATTAGTAATTATTAAAGGAACTAAAGGGTAAAATAGTCATTTGATCATTTAAGGAATTAAAAATGTGATAGTGGGGATATATATTTTTACACGTGGGAGTGTAGGAAACCAAAAACAATGTTTCCAGAATTCTCTTATCCTCTTTCTTCTTTGTGCGTGAAGCTCCAGCTCAAAGGTGAGTTTCTTAATTAGTTGGTTATTTGTTGAATTAAAAGTTGGGTTATGATTCTTAGGTGATACTTAAGCTTAAGGAAAGCTTAAGTTATCTTAAAATTAAAAGATTAATGAATTAGGGAAGATTAAAGATTTGGAGTTATTGAGTGAATTTCCAGAATGAAGTTGATAAGTTGAACTTGAAACTAAATTTGACTTGTCATCAGCTTAATTAAGAAGTATTAAGTGTTAGAATTGGATTTGAAACATGTGGAAAATAGGGTATGATTCTTGAAATTCCTAAAGAGGAGAGGATATTAAGGTTAAAGATGAGATAAATGAATATTAATGAGTTTAAGTATGTATATGTAAGTTAGGAATACGAAAGGGGTTGAAATATGAAGGATTTAATCCAAAAAGAATGAATTTTCGGGTTCAAAAAGAGGATTTAGGGCAGAGTGCATCGATGCATATTCATAGTGCACCGATACATCAAGGTTAAAACCCAGAAATTGTTTGAAGGTGTATCGATGCACAAGTAGTTCATCGATGCACTCTTTTAATCTAAAAGCATCGAATGCAATTGGTGCATCGATGTATAAGGCATGCATCGATGCATCCCAGTAATAAAAAAACATCGAATGTATTTTATGCACCGATGCACAGGTAGTGCATCGATGCACCGATAGGGAATGCATCGATACACTGTGCAGTGCATCGATGCATACCTTCATTAAAAGATGAAATTGGCTTTTCTTTTAGCCTAAGAAGTGACAATTTAGAAGATATCAATTAGTATACTGATATGTATCAATGTATTATTATGATGTAGATATAGAATAAAGCTTGTTCCGGAACAATCTAAGGATTAAATTGATTCAAAGCAAACAAGACTAAGGTGAGTGCATATTATTTAGTATATGAGGTTCAATGGAAAATAAGACTTGCGATAAGTCTATTTCCAATAGTGAAAAACATGAATTCATAGAAGTATGTATTTGTTATGATTTATATGTATGCATGAGTATATGTGTTATTGATATGAATATGGTAAGTAAAAGGGATTAATGGTAATGATAAGAATAATAATAAGGATAATGAAATGATAGGTATATGTGAATATATGTATTAATGTGTTTTTGTATGTATTGTAAGATGATATGTTTATGTGATAACATGATAAGATGCAATTATTTACATGTCATATGAACACATGAGAAATGTTATGAGCCATATGAAAGAGAAAGTATATGTGATACATAAGGGTGAATCCTATGTTTATATGAATATGAACTCATATGAGAATTGACATGAACTACGTGATTACATGTATATGTGAATGAAACCATGAGCTTATATGAATATATGATATGGTTACATGAATATGTAAAAGGATAAAAAAGATAATGCCCATGTTATGTGTCATGAGAGCTAGGGGTATAGTTGGCATGCCAAGAGTCGAGGGTCTATGTGGTCCTTCGGGACATATATGTATTCTTTGGAACATGTGTGAAGTCTGGTGAGACACATACTTGATCCTTGGCATATGTATATGATTCTTAAGGAATGATATGTGGTCCTTTGGGACATATATGTATTCTTTGGAACATGTGTGAAGTCTGGTGAGACACGTACTTGATCCCTAGTATATGTATATGATTCTTAAGGAATGATATGTGGTCCTTATGGACATTATTATATGGCACTACGGTGCAATTCTACGCGGCACTCCGGTGCAATTCTACGTGGCACTTCGGTGCAATTATATGAGCTGTGGTGACATCATTAGTGCACAACATCTATGTACTCACATATATTTAGTTCTCACATGTGTATCATGGGTTATTAAATAGATAATATTAATAAAGTGATATGATAATATGTTTGTTTCCTTGTGGAATTTCATGTGTGATATTGATTGTACAAATGGTAACTTATAAGACCATATGATGAAAGGAATCAATGATAGTGATAAAATAAGAAAGAAATGAAGATGATAATATAGTTGCCTGGGTGTACGTGTTTTATGATAGTATATATATTTGGTTTACATGACATGATATGTATATGTGCAATTGGTTATGGTATATGTTATATGATATGGACATAAGAGATCATAGGAACATGAGATAAGAGATATGAATGATAATGACATATATGTATGCATATATTTGTTACATGTAAAAGTATGAGTGGTATGAAATGATAGTAGTAATTGTTTAGGTATGATTATTAGTTACCGTTTACCTTATATGTTTATATGCCTCGCTAAGTCTTTGACTTAGCGTGTAAGTGATTTACACGTAGGTTTCGAGAAGAGTAAAGAGCAATGTGGAGCAAGACAGGTCAGTTCTCCTTACTAAAGGTCAGATCAGAAAAGAGGTGAATAATATATATTTTAGTATATAAAGTTTCAGTTGACATGTTTTCAAAAGAATATATTGTTTAAGCTATGAACCGTTTTATAAATGTTTCGAATAGTTATATGTAAATAAATAAGTGAAATATACACGCTCTGATTGGTTTTGTAAAAATGAAAATGTCTTTTATGTAAATTAGTCATTTATATGTTATAAAAGTTTTAAATTACTCACTATTTTATATAAGTACATGTTTTAAAAGGTTAATGTGACACCTCGGATTCGTATCCGGGTCGGATACGAGTTGGGGTGTTACAGCATCGATACTATGCGTATGGTATCGATACTACTATGTAAAGTAGTATCGGTACCCCTTTGGGTATCGGTACTGTTTTTGCATTCAGGAATTTGAGAAATGATGGTAGTATCGATAGTACCGAGTGAGTATCGATACTTCTCTTACCTTTGGTATCAGTACCATATGAACAATACAGGTACTGTTCATGAGGTATCGATACTGTGAGAACATTATCAATACTTCTTGTTCAGAAAAACATTTTGTGTTTAATTCCAAGTTAAAATGAACTTTGAATTATTTTTGAAAAACTTTGAATAAATTTAATTTAAGTCCAAAAACATTTTGCCTTAATTGTTATATCAAAATATAATTTCACATAAACCTAAAAAATAAAGCAAACTAAAAATTAATTTAAACTACAAAATGAATATGAGATTTAAAAAAAACCCGAAACAAAACAAAGAAATCAGAAGAAGAAATCCATAAATAATACTCCATAACACTTGAATCTTCGTTCATATTTTGAGATCTTCATAAAATCTTCAAAAAATTGTTACAAAAATGAGATGGAATGGAATAGACGACGAAACAAACTTCAAAGTATTAAGGGAAAATAAAAAAACAATGAAATAGATTGAAAAACAAACAGAAGAAAAGGGAGAAAATGAAATGGAAGTTGAGAATGAAAGAAAAAGAAAGAAAGAGAGAGGAGCGGCAGAAAGGAAAATGAAAAAAATGAAATGGGAGTTGAAACTAAAACCCTAAATAATATATATATCATATAACATTTTTGTAAATATTTCAAACTTTATTTTATAATTATACCGGGTCGAATCGGATTAAATATTTTTAACTTTAAATCCTAACCCGACATTACCTCATTTATAACACGATCCGATTCAAACTGATTTTTTAAAAAAACCCGATCCTACAAGGTTAGGTTGGGTCGGGTCGAAACCCGTCGGACACGGGTCAAATGCCCATCCCTAGCCCTATTGGTCCAGAAAACCAAAAAACCCGAAGAAACTGAAATCTGATCCGTTGTGTCTTTTTGGGCCGGGTTGGGAAGTTGTCATGTATGTGGGCTTTTCTTAGCTTTCTGCCGGTCCGACATGGCAGCTTTGAACGGGCCATTATTGAGTTTGTTTAAATTTTACTTTATTCTTCTTCTGGGAGAAAAGAAGAAAATAATCACTTAATTATTTAAAACCAATAATTATCTGAACCCAAAAAACCCCAATATTTAATTTGCAAAAGAAGGGAAAAAAAAAAAAAAGCGAGTACGCTTCGTTTCTCGCGAAAATTCTGTTATTTCTCCAGGGGAAGAAACATTATGAACTGATTCGCTTCAAGTAACCGAAATCCTCAAGGAAATGTTCGTCAATAACTTCTTTAAACGGATACTCTCGTCTCTGCTTCGTCCATGGCTGGAGCACGATCTCGAGCTAGACCTCCATTTAGGGTTCATAAATTCCATCGCCATCTCCAAAAACATTCGTCTTGACACCTCAGCTCTCAACCGCCAGATTATCGACGGTTCATCTTCTCCGTGTTTCTTTTTCAAAGAGTTCGTTATCGGAGAGTTGGTTGTTCGATTCTCTGTTTGGTCAGATTCTGCTTTTTCCGTTGAAGCTCGTGGTGTCAATGTTACTCTGTCACTTGAGTAAGTAACGCCATAACTTTTCATATTTTCTATATTGATATGATTTTTTTTAATAATGTCATTATTTTCCCTTGAGAAGAGAAATGGGAGAGGAATGTACTGCAAAGGTGCGGAATTCGAGTACTGCGGTGTTGGAGAGTTTGAAGAATGATTTATCCCTGATAGACCCCGAGGTTTTTTCTTTCCCCATTTTTGTTGTTATTTTTTATAAATTTTAATTGTCTAAAACTATTTCATGTTCATAAGTTGCACCTGACTGACAACAATAAGAAGTAAAGCTCTGTCTTTTTTTGCTATGAATTACTGAACCAATCAATGGAAAATTGGTAATTATTTGGAACAAGAGTAACGTGTAGTAAGCGTTATTCAGTCACATGTTAGTATCGAGTTTATGTAAAAATTTAGCTTCTTAATATTAGATGCCTTTATTTATAAGATTTTGCTAACTATTGTCCTTTGGTTGCTCTGTAAGGTTAGTAATATTTTCTTCCAATGCATTGAAAATGATGAGTAATGATATAAACTACTGCTTTTAATAGAATATAATTACTATAAATAGTATATTAACTGACCTTATCGAATGCCCCAAGGGAACTTGTTATCAAAACCCTTTTTTAATACATGGTTTCGTGAAATCTTTTGCTTATTGAATAATTACATTTAAACTAATAGTTTAACATATCGTTGTTTGATTTGCAATTAAGAGTCTTTTCTTGGTATTTGATGTGTTAAACCGGGTCAAAATAACATAGGCTTTCTTCCATACCAGGGTAGTGCTCTGCATGATATTTTGGCAGCAACCTTGGCTACTGCTTGTGGGAGAAATCGGTTTCAGTCTTCCTTTTTGAATCTCATTCTCCAACATTGCCGTCTACAGATACTTGGCATTAATTTGCAAATACAATTTCCCACCTTAGATGATTCCTTTGTATATCTGTTGAATTTAGAGAAGCTTAATGCAGAATCTCTACATTTTGTTCATGGATGTCTTTGCAGAGGGCTTGTTAATGTGCTCTTTCTACCTCTGAAAGAGGGATCTTTTGTTGTTAGTGGTGATTCCTTTAAGATAATATATAAGAAAAGCAATCAAATTAGCCGTGTTTGTTCCTCCAGTGCACTGGTTACATGCATCAAGTTAAATGATCTTGAACTTGTAGAGTTCAATCTTCGTGTTCCAGAATTAAGTTTCTCATTTTCTCCGGTTGATTTTCCCATTTTCATGGAACTTAGTAATGTGCCCTCGAAAGAATTCAAGCGGGTCAGGAATGGTCGGTATCTGTGGAGACTAGCGGCTATTAAAATAGGTCATGTTATTTCAGCTCCCAAATTATCATGGTACAAGCTAGTGGATTTTACTATTTTGTGGCTACGGTATGTGAATCACTACGAGTATCTGTTGTCGCTAGTTCGATATTCCCCTGATCACTTATCGGAAAGACCTGATATTAAGATACCAAGAGACAAGGTAATTCTGACTTCTGCTAAGCACTATTGGGCGGTGATTTTTAAAATTGAGAAGGAGCTGCCTGCAGAAGCTATTGCACAGGCTCGGAGAATAGCTCGATATAAAGCTTTGTCAAGTGGTCAACAGTCTGAAGATAATTATGCAGAACTCTTTGTTAATGCCCGTTTCAAAACCTTTGTTCAGAAAGTTATGCAAATTATCCTGCCAATGAGGCACCTTCTCTTTTGGAGGACATCTGCAAATCAAGATGACAAGTTTGTTGGAAACCCAGGAAATGTTTCTGAAAGTTCGTATTCACGTTTCCGCTTCATTTTAAGTCTTGGGAAAATTTACATTACCCTGTCCTCAATGAGTGCAGCCCAGATTGCTAATGAAGATGTGAAGTCAGATATTGGGATCTCATATTCAGATGTTTTTTCATTCCGTTTCTCTATTAAAGTGTTTTTACTGATGTACATAGAAGACATCTTTAAACAGTCATTGTCTTTTTCCTGTGGAAAAGTGAAAGTGAAGTATTTCATCAGTTCTGTTGGAGAAGAAAAGGAGAGAATTAAGAATTTGAAAATTATTCTGCAGGGTGAGCCTGCAAAAATCTTTCCCTTCTCAGAAAGCAATAAAACTAGTACCATCAATCATGCTGAAGGTGGTTGTGACTCATGTCTAGAAAATTTTATAGGAAAAATGTGCTTGGATTGGAAACAAGCTTGCAAGCAATTTGAAGAAAGTGAAATCAGGTGCCCTCAAAGTCCACGACTTCTTTTTGAGATGAAAAGCTTTCTGAGACATCCAGATTTGGAAAAGCTAGGCTCTGGGCTTTGGAAATGCAATCTGACAGTGGGAAAGCTCAACATAGCGTTAGGATATTTATCAATGATATCAGTGCTCATGCTTGTTAGGCAGATACAACATGCTCTACACTGGACTCGAGGAAATGGGTGTGGCAGGGATTTCTCATATTCTCCTCGAAATACTGTTCACCATCAAGAGGATAGTTGGGAAAAAAAATATGAGGGCTATTCTAGTAAAATAAAGATGTCCTTTATGAAAATGCTTCCTGGGAAAGACATTCAAATAGGAGTGCTTATGGCTGGTCCTCGCATTCAATTCTCAACTAAGAAGATTGGAACAAGGAATGTAAATGAAGGTGTGAACAACCATATAGTTAGCGGGGGTGATTTTCACCTAGGATTTGATATCCATGATATTGAAGTTGTTGTTTGGCCAAGCTCGAAATCTGGTTTGGCACCAATACATGACTTTATAGTACAGGATGATGAATATCCTGAATGCCTCAGGTTGCAGGAGCCTAAGATACTTGATATTCCAAAATTGGAAAATAATAAGTATAGATCTAAGGATGCAAATTCACTTCATTTCTGTCTGAAATTCAATGGTTTGCAGGCTTACTTGGAGGACATAGTAGACAGACATAAAAACCAAATATTTGTATTAGATCCCATAACATTTCAAATTTCATCTTTCAGGTAGGGATTTTAGCATTGCATTATCTTACACAAATATTGAAAAATTTATGGTTGATTCCTTAAATTCATACATATCTTTTCTTAGCGCATTCAACTTGAAGGGCTATTTGCTAGTTGCTGATTGCTCAGCCTGAGTAAAATTAATATTTTGGTGGAAAATATTTGATTTCATTTGTTGGTCGTAATTTTAATTTGATTTTACTTGTGCATACAGTTACATTTGTTAATTGTTTGATGTTAATAAATTATCATGTACATTTTGAAGTTAGTTTCACTTAAAGTATTATGTTTGGAGTGTGCATTCAGCTGACCCCCTGGCCTTGATTATTATACATATTTTCCAAGTCTCTTATGAACTTTTTTGATGATGTCATAGGGTACTGTTGTCCTATTCAACTTTTAAAGTAAATGATTAAATGAAGTTTATTCTGTTGATTCATTGAATGGTTCATTGTTTATTTTCCATAAAAAATTAATTGCTGGAATAATATTGTATATGTTGAGATGCATCAGATTATTGATTTCTTTTTGTGCTCGTTTCTTTTAGTTGTGAATTTTGCTTTATTTTTTTATATGTGACAATTTAGTAGAACATGCTTCTTTTAAAAATATATATGGATTGTATTGAGGAATACACCTCTTGCTTTAAACACATGATTTCTTTTTTTTTTTGATAGGAATGGGAGGTCTCATTAAAAACCTCCCACTTAGTAGTCCTTTACCGTGAGGCAAGAACGTACTAACAGTAGGAGGAAAAGAGTACCTCAATTCATTAATAAAAAACCGATTACATAAGACTTCAAAATAAACTCCTAGAAAATACAAAAACCATAACGCACTCCTCTATCACTTAAACAGGAAAGCAGACCAACAAACTAGAACAAGATACACCATCACCCAATCCCCTCCTTTGCTAGTTTATCCGCCTCAATATTACAACACCTAGGAGTCCACCGCACAATAAACTGTTTAAAAGAAACAATATACACAATTTCCTTAACAAAAAATATTGAGAAAAACAGGAGGCAAAGCCTGTTCATTAATCAAGTCCACTGCTTGCTTGGAATCACTCTCAATGATTAGCCTACCTTTCGAAGCCCACTCTGAAGAAACAAATATGTCAATGCCTTTACTGATAGCTTTCAGTTCTGCAGTAATCGGAGAAGTAGAATCGATATTTTCTGAAAAAGAAATAAGTGTAACCCGGTTCCAATCTCTGAGAATGCCCCCAATTCCCGCCTTCATCCCAACTCTACTAACAGCCCCATCCTCATTCAACTTAAAAAAATCCACTGGAGGAAGGCTCCAGCAATGCACTTTCCTTTTCGGCTCCTTACTAGAAGAAAGTTTGTCCGCCAAAGAAGGATCTCCAATTAAAGAATCCATCTGGATAGATAGAAGGGGAAACTTTGCTAAAAACCAAGTAGCTAGTTTAAAACGAACATAGAAGAACAGTGAAAGTCTGTCCAGTTTTCCTTTTTCAAAAATGATTTCATTTCTTATCTTCCAGATTGACCAGAAAATTACTCTCGGAATAAACTTCCACATAGCAGAAGTAGGCCGTAAAACAGACCAAGAACTAAGCAAGGAGGGAGGGTCAGACGGAAGGGCTAACCGAACACCCCAATATGATATAATTTTATTCCACAGTTCCCATGAAACATTACAGGTAATAAATAGATGCTGAATAGTTTCTTCCCTTTGATTACATAAAGGGCAGAGAATATTCTCCCCTAATTGAACCCCTCTTTTCACCAATTCCACTCTCACATGTATTTTTTGGTGGGACAGTTTACAAAGGAAAGTCTCTACTCTAGGAGGAACCAAACCCAACCAAACACATTCATTCCACCGAAATGAATTGTCATAAATAGGAGAAAGCTAATTCCTGCATGCTTTAACAGAGAACAACCCCTCACCCGGGCCATCCCACAACAAACAGTCTTCCAATGCCTCTACAAGTTTGATGTCTTTTAGCCTATTCAGAAGCTCTACCAACTGCTCCACTTCCCAATCACAAAGATTCCTCCTAGTCTTAATATTCCACTCCCATCCATTCAAATCAAAACTCCCGAAGTCAGCCACCTTACCACATTTGTTTGAAGATAAAGCAAAGTTCCTAGGAAAAACTTGTTTCAAAGGAAAATCTCCAAGCCAAGTATCACTCCAAAAGGAAATAGAATTACCATTCCCTAATTGTAACTTTGCATATGATCTAAGACAAGCTCCAATAGTATCATCCTTGATAAAGTCATTAACAATTCCCCTCTAAATCCAAGAATCTTTTTGGGCTAGGACCTTGCTTATATCCATGGAATGACAACTCACATTATGTTTGCTACACAAAAATTTCTTCCAAATGGAATTTTTTTCATTAGCAAATTTCCAAACCCACTTTCCCAACAAAGCTCGGATTGTAATATTCAAGTCGATAACTCCCATACCACCACCACTCATCGGTTTGCATACCTTATCCCACCTCACCCAATGCATTTTCTTCTTCCCAACCCCTCCACCCCATAAAAAATTCGACATTAAAGAATTTAACCGTTGAGAAATAGTAGAAGGTATCTTAAAAATCGATAAATAGAAGATAGGTAAGGATGACAACACCGACTTAATAAGCACCAATCTACCAGCCATAGATAAAGAAGTAGCTTTCCACCCTGCCAATTTCTTGTCGAAATTATCAATCACCAGCTCCCACAGCTTCTCTGAATTCTTTGATGCCCCTAATGGAAGGCCTAAGTATATCGTGGGAAATGAACAAGTAGAACAACCTATATCCGACGCCCACTCATCAAGGATGTCATTCTCTACATTAATACCAAATAGTTTGCTTTTGGCTAAATTGATTTGAAGTCCCGTCATTAGGCTGAAAATTCTCAGAACTCTTCTAACATTCTTAATTTGAGTAATTGATGCTCGAAAAAAGATAATTAAATCATCTGCAAACTGAAGGTGAGACAAGGTAAAGGAGTTTTGATACTTGCCAAAAGAGAAACCTTGAAACAAATCCAAATCCACTGCTTTAGTCAGCATCTTATGAAGTAATTCCCCTACCACATTAAACAGAAAAGGAGAAAGGCTGCAACCTTGCCTCAGGCCTTTAGCAATAGCAAACTCTTCCGTTGGAGAGCCATTCACTAGCACCGAAATAAAAGGTGTGGAAATACATTGTTCGATCCAAGAACACCACTTCTCGCCAAAATTCATCTCTTTCAGAATCCTTAAAAGAATATGCCATTCCACTGTGTCATAAGCTCTACTGAAATCCACCTTAAAAGCCACCCCTTTAAGCCCTTGCTTCCTCCAAAAATCAATTCCTTCATTAGCTAAGTAGGAGCAGTCCAACAATTGCCTTCCCGGTATAAAAGCAAACTGTGTAGGGCTAATAATATCCATGCTGCAAGATAGGATTCTTTTAGAAAGAACTTTAGAAAGTATTTTGTAGAGGCTGCCGACAAGACTAATAGGCCTATAGTCTTCAATACTTTGAGGATTACTGTTCTTAGGAATCAAGGTTAAAAATGCATGATTGACCCCATGATCCCACACCTTTCCTTTATAAAAATCTGTGAAAAACTCCATAATCTGCTCCTTAAGATAAATCCAATATTTTTTATAAAAACCCATTGTAAAACCATCCGGGCCCGGAGCTTTTGCACTATCAGAGGAAGAGATTGCTTGCCACACTTCTTGTTCAGAAAATTCCACCTCCAAAAAATGCACTTTGAGAAGCAGTTAACTGCGCAAAATCAAAATTAAAGCCCTCTACCTCCAAAGCTGAAATAGTATTGTATGCAGTTTTGAAGAAATTTGTCCGATGTGTTTATTAAGTGGAGAAACGGTTCAACATTTGTTTATTGTCTGCCCTGTGGCTCATGAGGTTTGGTATAAGTTTCTCAGTCTGTGGCACGTTAGCACAGTTTTGCCTGGGGATATTTCTACTCTTCTCAGTTCTTGGCCTGATTTGGTGGCTAATTCACTTATCTGGAAATTAGTTCCAGCAGTGGTTCTTTGGTCGATATGGAATTACCGAAATTCTATTGTTTTCGATAACAAGGTTATGGACAGACTTTCACTTTTCTTCATCGTAAAGCTCAGGCTAGTTAAATGGTTTATAGCAAAGTTCCATCAAGTGCAGATTACGGTGGACTTGTTAATATCTGACCCTACTTTAGCAGATGGTTTCAAGGGTCTTCACGCTACTAATAGGTCTGTCCAGAATTGGCTCCCTCCACCAGCTGATTTCTTTAAATTTAATGTCGATGGTGCAGTGAAAAAGGATGGGATGGCGGGTGGCATTGGGGGTATCCTCAAAAATCATAACGGTTTCGTTTTAGCAACATTTTCAGAAAGCAGATGGCCAGGGCCACCCCCTTTAGCAGAGTTGAAAGCTATTAGAAAGGCTGTTGACATTTTCTACTCCTCTGTTTGGGCTTCTAAGGGCATATTAATTCTGGAAACTGAATGCAAGAATGCAGTGGAGTGGGTCAACTTTCCAAGTCTCTCTCCGGTGTTTTTTAGTAATTTAATCAAGGAAATTAAGTCTTATGTACTGTCCAGGGGTTTGGTAGTGCAGTTTATTCCTAGGTGTAGTAATTGGGAAGCAGATAAGTTGGCTAAGGCAGGGATTGGCTAAGTATTTGATATTTTGTAAAGGTTTCTAATGTATGCTTCTGTTATTAATAAAATGAGGTACTCTTTTCCTCCTTCCGCTGGATGACCTTTTTCCAAAGGGTCAACTATGAAGGAGGTTTTTAATGAGACCTCCAACTTCTATCAAAAAAAAAAAAATTTAGCACACTGGCTCTTATAGATACTGGATCCGTCATAAAGTCCCCATCCACTTTTAAAGAATGGATTGAATTGACCCTATTCCTTTTCATAGCAGAAAGGTGGAAAAACCTCGTATTTTTGTCTCCATCTTTTATCCATCTACTTCTTGAATTTTGACACCAAATGCTCTCCTCAATCCGAAGCAGCCTCCATAGCTCACACTTGAAATCTACCAACTGATCCCACTCCCCCTTGGATAGAAATCCAACTTGAGACTTTCTTTCCAGATCACAAATCTTCACTTCAAGCAATGAAATGGAGTCTGACAGCCCTAAGTGGCTACTACCAGGCCATTTTCTGATATGTTTTTTTGCAGATTGTAACGTCCTGAAGATACCCCCTCCCTTCTTCTTATTCTTCTCCTCTGCCAGCAGGTCTTCAACCAACACATCAAAACCTTTTTCCTCTAACAGAAAATTAAAAAATCTAAAAGGTTTAGGGCCCCAATTGAGACTACTAACTTCCAACAACACAGAATTGTGGTCTGAAATCGAATTAGGTAATAGGCTTTGAGAAAGCTTTGGAAAATTGTTAAGGAAACTGCCGCAAATAAGGAAACGATCAAGACGAACCCACGTTGACTCTTCCCTCTTGCTACACCATGTGAAAGCACCTCCCGACATGGGAAAATCGATAAGATTAGCACGTTGGGCAAAAGATCTGAGAATATCAATTGTGTGCCAATTTTGAGATTTCCCTTTCTTTTCTTCAGGATCAAGATACGCATTAAAATCACCCCCAATACAGACCGGTCTGTTCACTGATAAAACGAAATTCAACAATTCCTCAAAAAAATCCTCCTCCTCCGATTCAATAGCAGGGCCATAGACATTAATAAAAACGAACTCCTTTTGAACATTCAAAAAATTCCCCACCAGAACCAAGAACCTACTGTGAACTAGCTGATTTGTGACTTTGATCACACTATCATTCCACATGCTAATCAACCCACCCTTTGACCCCTGGGCAGGAGACACCAACGCTCCCTTTAAAAGACTTCCTCCTATCCTCCTAGTTATCGACACATGACAATGTTCCAACTTAGATTCTTGAATAAAAATCAAGACAGGTTTAATCTTCTTAACCTGCCTTGCGACAGCAACACGTTTTTCTCTTCTCCCTAAACCTCTAATATTACACGAAAGAATACTTAAATTTTGCATAAAAAAGCTTAACTCCCAAACACATGATTTCTTGAAAGCTATATGATTCTTAACCAACATGGCATGTACTTGGCCAATAATTTGTTCCTGCCTATAATATTTGTGAATCATGTATCTTGATTCCCTTCTGTTATCCCTGTTTTACTTCAACAATTCAATTATTTTTATGCTGTGCAATTTTCAATCATGGTCCTTTGTATACTTTTGATGACCAGTAATTATTTATCTGTCTCAGGCAGTGTGCTCATTCGTTTAGCACAACCTCTATTGCTTTTTCGACTGTGTTTTATGGGCTGGCCATGGGATTTACGCTGTTATTATTTATGGATGATTTGTCTGCTTGCATTCAGGTGATTATTTTTCAACTCTTGTTGTCTGATTGGCTTTGACCTTCCTATTATTTTTAAACATGTGATTGTGATACTTTTGGCGTTTTTCATATAAAGCACAATATAATTATGGATGAGTTATTGCAGCATTATTTATCTTAACTCTTAACAACTCATTAAATGCACTTGAAATAGTTTTTTAGCATCCATCTGTCTGTTCTCATTGTCTCTTTTCCCTAATATTCAAGTCAAAAACCTTGTTATTCGTTTTGTTTCATTTACATGCTTACTTAACCTTATACAAATGAATGAAAATTAAATGTTACTTGTTCCAGGCTCTCACTGATTTGTATTCTGATCTATCACATCTTTGTAACAACTTTGGTTCACCTGGTAATGAATCCTTCCAAATATTGAGACATGGTATGGTTTCTGGGGTTTACGAGGATGAAGAGCTTCCAAATGCGACACCCTTGATATGTAATAATACGCTGTTTTTAATTAATGGCATCTTTAAACTCAAGTCAATGGATATCTTTCTCTGTAGTTCTAGGATAAGCAATGAAGCAAGGAGTTCTAAGATGGCTATTGGTGCTGTTAGTAGCACAAATTCAGCTGCAAATAACTTATCTGATTATGGTATTTGGATTTCACTCCCTCGAATGTGTTTTGACATATTATACGAGGAAATGAAACTGGAGTTAGTCATTGATTTATCAGGAATTCAATCTGTGATCATCAGATACCAGGAGAACATGAGAAAAAGGTTTACTCGCTCTGCAGTTAAAGAGTTTCTTCTTTGTTCACACAATTGCTTATATGAGGTATTTTCATCTCATTGCATATTTACTTTATTGTTGAGTCTGCCTGAGAATTTGTCATCATCAACTAGTGTGAATGAGATGCGAGATGTTTCTACTTCTGAGGTAAATACATCAAGCGCAGTGTCTAGCACAGAACAGTCCCCAATTGTAGAATCTTCTGATTTTCTTCAAAAGTTGACCTTTACTTCAAATATCCCAGTGCCAGCTTCAAGCCATTGGATATTCATAAATATTGTAGTCGATGAGGTGTTTGTGACAAGGTGTTCAGTGAAAAATATTCTGATTGATGCACAAAAAATAAATAAGCTGCTGTCATCTCTTTATGTCGGGGCAAAATCCCAGACGATTACTTGGGAAATCCAGGTGCGAGTTTTGTAGATAATTTGGGACCAGCTTTTGCTGATGTCATCTTTTATGTTCAATGCTCACACATTATAATTTGGGACCAGCTTTTGCTCTGTTCTCTTGGAATAGTTAAATATTGTGGATAATGCATGACTTAGCCACCCTACATTTTACATAATTTATGCCTTCGGAAATTTTATTGGGTTCAATCACGTTGTGACAAATGACAAATGATTGGGCAGGGAGGTTTTCTTTGCCTTGAAGCAAAAGCTTTGGCAATGTTTATCCAGTGCACTGCTTCCTACGTACATCACATTAAAAATGCATTATCTATTGTGCAATCAACTGCAAGGAGCATGCAAAAACCTGCACATAATGATCATTCTTTTGGTGGACATTCCCAAGAGATGCTACTTACATCTCAGCAAGTCAGACAGGAACATCCCAAAGCTTTTAGTTTTGATGTCTCTCAATTTTCTCTTGCTCTTATCGTTGAAAGTGAATCAAGTAAGTAAATCCCTTCTTAGTTGGATTTTTAATTAACATTTCTTTCAATAGTTAATCTGCTTGCACAGGTCATATTCAGGAATTTGTGTTGGAGCTTGATCTTGTTCTGAACCTTGATTTGGATAATATGCAAAGGAAGTTTATGTTTAAGCTTTCTCGACTATCAATTTTTTCTCAAGTCTTTCAACAAAGTGGAGAAGAAGAAATCCAAATTCTTCATTCTTCTACCCAGTCAAAGTTATCTTCTCAGCCTTTATCTGGGGAATCTTCTGTAGCCTTTAAGCATGAAAATGGTCATTTTCCGGATGGTGACAGTTATTCTAGAGCTTCTGCTTCTGAGGGGTTTATTTGCTTTCGTCATCAAGACTATATCTTGAAACATTTAACTGCTTGTTTATCAGTTGAGAAAGCCGAAGTTATTCCATTAGATTCAGAACAGGTTTGGGTTGGCAGTGGTTCTATTTCAGGTTTTGATATGAAAATTACGTTGTCTGAACTAGAGGTAAGAAATTCTTTAGCTTTTCCTGGTTCTACATAAAACTTTTATGCTTTTGTTGAATTTTTCAGATGCCTTCATTATAGCCTACTCTTATCCTGTTTCTGACCGACTGTTATTCATGTTGCTGGATCTAACCTTCTTTGCAACATCAGGTGATTCTGTCCATGGTCTCATCCTTCTCTGGGTTATCTGTCAATGGCTCAACTGGTGAATCTGTGCAAAGGAACTGGTCTTATAACCCTCAAGATGAAAATAACTTTGAGGCTAGGATTCCTAATGGTAAATTATTTTCTAATTGTTTTATGTCTGTTGCTTGCAAGTTTTAATGATTTTATACCAATTATTATTACTCATGATATGCCCAGGGGCAATTGTTGCTATTCAAGATGTACATCAGCATCTCTACTTCACAGTTGAAGGTGGAGAAAATAAGTATGCTATAGGTGGTGCAGTTCACTATTCTTTTGTCGGAGAAAGGGCACTTTTCAGGGTATATTACTACATTTTCCATTTTCTTAAATGTTTTGTTTTAGAAAATTAAGATCTCAATTTTTCTAATTCTCTTAGAGTATAATGCTGTTAATGCCAAAAGATGTGTTGTTACTTCAAATTTTTAATTACCATTTTTTCCTTGTCTGTTATCCCTGTCATTATTAGCTATTTTGTTGAAATATGTAAATAGTTATTATCAGATACTTCTTATTAGGTTACTGCTATTAGCACATGTTGAGGAGGGAGCCGTATTATGATTAATTATGGCCTATGGAAACAGTAAACAATTCATTCACCATTCCCCCTTCGAACAGATTTATTAATTGTAAATATTTATTCTTTCAAATTCATTTCTGATGTCGTAATATGTACAGGTCAAGTACCACACACAAAGGAAATGGAGCTCATCAGTGTTTTGGTTCTCCTTGATATCATTGCATGCTAAGGACAACTCAGGAGAGCCATTGCGATTAAATTCTAATCCAGGATCAGGTTTTGTTGAGCTCTCCAGCACCTCTGATAATGCTTGGTCACTTTGGAGAGTTATTTTCTATGAATCAACTTATGAGGGTGACATTGACTGGGAGCCTTACAATCATGTGCTTAGAAACACATTTTACCTGGTGAACAAGAAGAATGACTGTGCTGTTGCTTTCAATGATAGGGTTCCAGTGTTTGTCAAAAAGCCTGGAAATCCATTCAAGTTCAAAGTGTTAAGTGATGTTTCTGTTGCTCAAGAAGTTGCGACACATGATATGTACTTTATGAACTCTTTTGGAACCAAGATAGATCTTGGAGCACATGAAGATGGAAAGAGAAGTTACTGGCAAAGTGGAAAACTGCCTTGCATTGGTATTGGTATTGACAAAGTTTCTTTAACCATCTTCCATGAATTTTCAGATGCAAATGACAGGTTTCCTCTCCTTCATGCTTGCATTTTTGATACTCAACTTAATTTACAAATGCTCTCCACTAAATCCAGAGTTATAAGCACTTCAAAGGCTTTGCTTCAATATTTTGATGCTCAGGCAAACTTCTGGTGAGTGTTCTCCTCATAACATAAAGGAAATAATTTTATTAGCGGATACATTCCCCTGGAATTAATTTTCCATTTAAATGCATGTTTAATTATTTTCCCACCTGTTCATTGCAGGAGAGATTTTCTTCACCCTGTTGAAATATGTATTTTCTATCGTTCTAGTTTCCAAAATCCACATGGTGTGCCTGTTCATGTCTATTGTAGAACCAAAGAGGTTCAGAGTTTTATATGTTGTATCATGTTTCTTTTATGATTCCTGTATAGTATGTATGAAATGCTGACCTACAATGCTCTGGCTTATCGGCAGTTGGAGATATCTCTAAATGAGCTTTCATTGGACATTCTTCTTTTTATGATTGGGAAATTAAATTTGGCTGGTCCATTTTCCCTGAGAAACTCTATGATTCTGGGAAACTGCTGCAAGGTTAGGTTGCATTTCCTGTGTAGTTCTCTCCCTTATTTAACCAACTCAACTGAAAGAACAAATCATGATTGACCTGATGTCAATATCTGTTCTTGTATCTGATGAAAATATATTTCAGGCTGTATCAAAAAGTCGTACTGGCTAGAATTTCTGTGATCACCATTCCTTGCATTACTGGACTCATAATTTTGAATATTTTTCATGGGTTAAATTCTAACAAAGAATGGTTGGGGTAAATTGTGACTAACCCACCAGCTTATTCTCCCTCCTGCTGCTTACTGTCATCCATCAGAGATTGTTATACCTCTGAATTCTTTTCTTAATTATTATCATTTCTATTATGGCAGGTGGAAAACCAGACAGGTTTGAATCTTCTTTGTCGCTTCTATGGTAAGCAAGGTGTGACAGTGGGCAGGAAACAATCCGTGTCCCTTTTTCTAAGGTATCCTTGTAATGCATAAATCACTTCTCACTGGTCTTTTGCCTAAACTTATATTATTGATTTGTTTTAAATTGTTAGTTGTTTTCTTGCATGACTTAATTTTTTGTTGGTTCTATTAACCTTGTTATAAGTTTTCCTATATAAATCCTACATATTTTTATTTACAGTGCATGTGTGCTTTTGCTGTTAATTTATGCATATCCATTTTTATTGGGTGTTTGAGGTCGATTTTCTTTATTCATTAGTTGATCTTGTTCTATGCATGTTTGTAAGGCTTTCGGCTTTTGTACATCAGCCACCAGATCCAGAGCCACTTGTTTCAGTCCAGCTTTCTCTTCCTGGTTCATTTTCAACTTCACCAATTCATCTTTCTCTTCTAGGAGCTCAAGCACTTGCTTGGAGAACACGTATATTGTCACTCCAAGGTATGTGAATCTGCTACCTTCACCATGCACTTCTTTAAAAGAGTTTCACTGAGGTGATTTGTCCCTTTTTGTGGAGGGTTAAAAGAGACTTGAAGTAGCAAAATAGTACCACTATGTGGTGAGGAGTTAAAATGTAGCGTTGGTTTATAACTTCAACTAGAATAGAATGGAACATGCTCTCGTTAACCTAAATTCACTCGGGGCATGGAACCATCTAAATACGGACCCAATTGTAAAATTGTTTTAGGGATCAGTAAAATCTCAAAGTTTATCTAGTGAAGAAAGTAAAGTATAATAAAGGAATTCATGATCTCTGATTCTCTGTTTTATTTGTCAAAATCAGCCATGTTGAATTATTATGTATTTATGAGTCTTTTATGATAAAAAATTATTAGTCTTAGGAGTCTTTGTAATCTCTATCTCTGGATAGAATTTTATCTTTACCGGAAAAATCCTCTTGAAGTGTTTATTTTGAGGTTGAATTCTTGTTCTTTCATTTCTAAATTTTGGCTGGTTGTTTGACAATATTCTGCTTGCTAAAGGATAATTTCAAGAATTAAATTCAGTTACCTTATATATATGATCCTATATAGGTCTTATCTGGACTTTTTCTTTTTTTCTTCCCTGCTCCCATCTTTGAACAGATTCAAAATCTTACCCTGGGCCTTTTGTTGTGGTTGACATTTCAAGGAAAGCAGAGGTATTGCCTAGATTTGTGTTGACCTTCTTACATATGCACAATTTACACACACACACACTTGCATTCTAACGTTCTTAGCTTGTTCTTTCTTGATATTGATGATACATTGTAGGATGGTTTGTCAATAGCAGTTTCTCCATTAATCAGAATACATAATGAAACTAAATTGTCTATTGAGCTACGAATTAGACGACCTGAACCAATGGACGATGAGTTTGCATCTGTGTCCTTGAAGGCGGGTGATACATTTGATGATTCCCTGGCTTCATTTGATGCTATAAATTTGTCTGGAGGAGCTAGAAAAGCATTGATGTCGTTAAATGTTGGTATGTTGTTGCTAACACTGCAGCTTAAATTTACTTTTTTACAATCCTTCAATTTCTTTTGCTTGGTGTATTGCACATCCTCATCTTTTGTATTATTATCCTTGGTTATGCTCTTACAATGTGTGTTATAGGCTTTGGATTTGATGGGGGAGTATGCTTCTGCTGGAGTTGGTAATGTGTGTGTAAAAGTTGTTAAAGAATAGATGTTCTTTTTTCTTGCACTTGCATTTGGGGTTGTGTCATCAATTTGGTTGTAGCTTTAAATGAATTAAACATATTTATCACACTTTCATAACCCTCATCCCAAAGGGTTCTAATATTGGTGGTTTAGATGATTTCAGACCTATTAGTTTAGTAGGTGGAATGTACAAGATCCTTTCGAAATGTCTTTCGAGAAGGTTGAGGAATTGCATGGATGATGTTATTAGTGCTTCGCAATTTGCCTTCGTTCCTGGTCGACAAATTTTGGACTGTTCTTTCATAGCCAATGAAGGAATAGATTTTTGGATAAAGAAAGGTTTGAAGCGTTGCGTCTTTAAGGTTGATTTTAGGAAGGCGTATGATACGGTGGATTGGGATATTTTGTTTAAAGTAATGGATAAAATGGGTTTTGGAGAAAAATGATGCAGTTGGATAAGATGTGTGACTACAGCCTCGGTGTCAGTTTTGGTTAATGGTGTGCCTACAGAGGAATTTCCTATGACGAGGATTTAGACAGGGCTGCTCCCTTTCCCCATTATTTTTTTTGATAGGAATAGGAGGACTCATTAGGAACCTCCCTCATAGTTTACATTTGATGTAAACTAATTGAGGGAGGAAAAGAGCACCTCATTTTATTGAAAAACCAGAATTACATAAGATACACAAAACATCCTGATCCTGAGAAACACAGGATAAACATAACACTCTAACCCTCGAAAATACACCATGACCATAATACAAATAGCGATGGGAGAAAATCACCCATCAGCCTAACCCCACACCAACACTATCGTAAAGTACAACACTAAGCCTTCAACAGTCATCCGATTCCCTGTTTAGCTAACCTATCTGCCTCCATATTGCAACTCCTAGAAACCCATCTCAGAACAACACCCTTTGTAGAAACAAGAACTCCTATTTCCTCCACCAACTCACTGAAAATAGTAGGGGAAGGTTGTCGTTTTAAAATCCAATCTACTGCATATTTGTTATCACTTTCCAAAATAAGTCTTTCCTTGTTGGCCCAATCGGATGAAAAGAAGAAGAGCAATCCTTTCTTAATCGCTTTCAGTTCAGATAGTATAGGGGGACCAGGGCCCACTGCGGAAGAAAAATTAGCTAAAGTGCAGCTGTAGGAGTCTCTCAAAACACCACCAATACCACCCTGCATCCCATCTCCAGTCACTGCTCCGTCAACATTGAGTTTGAACATATCAGATGGCGGAGGAGTCCAGCAAATAACCTTCTTAGAACTCGAATTAGAGGGTAATAAATCCGCCCGCGTAGGATCCCCTACTAGAAGGTCTGTCAGAATCCGAACCCCAGGGTATTTAGCCAAGAACCATTTAGCCAATCTAAATCTAGTAATGAAGAACAGAACAGTAGAGTCACATATGCCGTTTTCAAATACAACCTGATTTCTGGCCTTCCAAATAGACCAAAATATGACAGCCGGAATAAACCTCCAAATAAGGGAATTATTCCTTAGGTTCGACCACGAGCACAAAATTGAAGAAGGGTCTTGAGGCATCACCGTAGAGATATTCCATAACCTTAGAAATTTACTCCACAAATCCGAGGCAATAGGGCACGATAGGAACAGGTGTGCAATAGATTCATCCTGAGCATAACACAGAGGACAAAGAACATCCGAAATCTGAAGTCCTCTTCTCTTCAATTCCACTCTCACTGCCACTTTCTGATGACAAATCTGCCATAAAAAAGTTTGTACTCTTGGAGGCGCCAATCCATCCCAAACCCACTTCTTCCATACAAAACTCCCTTCCGAACTATCTTGTAACGATAATCGACAAGATTTGACCGAAAAAATGCCATCCCCCTTTCCTGACCAACCCAAAAAATCATCCACACATCGTGACAACGACGACTTGTCAATCAAAGACATAAAAGCAATCCACTGGTCCAATTCCCAATCACACAAAATTCTTCTAAGTTGTATATTCCAAACCCAAACATCATCTTCATACTCACCAAACTCAGAGACCATCCCCCATTTGTTTGTCGACAAAGCATAAATTCTTGGGAATTGTCTTTTCAAAGGCAGATTAGAAATCCAAACATCATTCCAAAAAGCAATCGACCGCCCTTTCCCCATTATTGTTTAATTTAATAGCAGAGCTTCTCAATCTAATGCTTCATAAGGCGGTCTCTATGAGGCTGTTCAGTGGTTTGGTTGTAGGTAAAGACGACGATTTTTATATGTTATCTCATCTTCAATTTGCGGACGACTTAATAATTTTCTGTAATGCATCCAAGACGGAAATTTTAAATATTAAGAGAGTTCTAAGAGTTTTTGAAGGTATGTCCGGTCTCCAGCTTAATCTTAGCAAAAGCAAATTATTTGGAATCAACATTACTGAGGAAGAGATCAAGGAGTGGGCTGGTGATCTTGGGTGTGCAGTGGGTACTCTCCCGTCTGATTATTTAGGGCTGCCGCTTGGAGCAAACATAAATTCTTCTACTTTGTGGGATTCGGTTGTTCAGAAATTTTTTAAGAAGTTATCGGGTTGGAAGGCAAGAACACTTTCTTTGGCAGGGAGATTGGTATTGTTGAAATCGGTATTGAGCTCTCTTCCTACTTACTTTCTGTCTATGTTTAAAATTCCAGTAGCAGTGAATTCGAAGTTGAATTCCATCATGGCTAATTTTTTACGGGGAGAAGCTGCAGAGTATAACAAAATATACTGGGTAAACTGGTCCACAGTGTGTAAACCAAGAAGCTGTGGTGGTCTGGGTGTGCTGAATATTAATTTTATGAATAGGGCATTATTAGAGAAATGGTTTTGGAAGTCTGCTAATGGTGGGGGATCAATTTGGAAGAAGATGATTTGCTCCAGATACAATCTGAACACCAATCTGATTTTTTTCAATAGCAAATTACTAAATAATGCATCTTGGATGTGGAAATTGGTGGTTAATAATCACTATAAAGATGATCAGTTTGGTGAGAAGGTTTGAAGTATGTTTCAAGTTAAAGTGGGTGATGGGAAGAGCATCAGTTTTTGGTTCGATATTTGGGCTCTATATCATCCTTTGAAGACTGCTTTTCCGAGAATTTTTTCTATTTCTTTGAATAAGTTCGGGACGTTAAATGAGTTTGGTGAGTACAAATCTTCAGGGTGGTCTTGGTATGTTTAGTTGAGAAGAAACCTGTGTGATTGGGAGCTGGAAGAGTTTTCAAATTTTCTAACCATCATTCATAACTTTTGTCTCTTCAAAGAGTTCAAAGATGGTTTGATTTGGAGAGGGAACGGGGAAGGTATTTTTTCTGTCAACTCTTGTTTGAAGACCTGTTTTTTAGAATCGGCAGAAGACAAATTTTAGGAAAATTGTATTTGGAAGGGGTTGGTGCCTCCAAAAGTAGAAGCTTTTATGTGGCAATTAGCGCACCAAAAATTGGTCGTAAAGTCGGAATTACAGAAAAGAGGGGTTTCGGGGATTGTTGATATTTCTTGTCCTATGTGTAAAAAGGAGTTTGAATCTGTCACTCATATATTTTTCTCCTGCACAGTTGCATGGTCCATTTGGAATAAGTTTCTGAATTTTTGGAAACTTAGTTCAATTCTTCATGTTAATGCTCAAGGATTTTTACTTGCTTGGTTTGATATGGTGCCTGCTTCTTTTGTTTGGTCCTTAATTCCGGGAGTAGTGTTTTGGACTATTTGGAAATTCAGAAATGAGGTGGTGTTCGAAGGAAGGTCTTTAGATCAGGTTGAGCTATTTTTCATGGCTAGGATTAGGCTTGCTTCATGGTTCTTAGCTAAGTTCAACGATGTTCCTACCTCTAAAGACTTATTATTGATCCATCTATTGCAGATTCTTGTTGTTCTTCTAGAAATTCGGTTCATAAAGTTATCTCCTGGATCCCCCCTCTTAAGGGTTACCTAAAATTGAATGTGGATGCAACAGTTTGCAAAGATTAGAGAAAGAGTGGTGTAGGCGGTTTATTAAGAGATGAGTTTGGCGATATCAAGGGTTCTTTCAAAGAAACAGCTGTTCCAGGCCCTCCTACTTTGCTGGAATTTATAGCCATAAAAAGGGGTCTAATTATCTTTGAATTAATTCTTCAGAGTTTTAAGGCTCGGTGGATTGTTGAATCTGACAGCAAACTTGCAGTGGATTGGGTTAAGAACTTTGATAACTGTCCTGCATTTTTTCGTGATTTAGTTAAAGAAATTGCAGATATGATAAGAGTTTTCCAGGGTGCTATCAGATGGGTGGACAGAACTGCTAATATTGAAGCTGATACATTAGCTAAGGCTGGTATTGGGTAGTGTATTGTTTTGTTTGTTGGGTTTTGATGTTTTTTCTTGAGTGTTAGATGTTTTATTTGGTGTGTTTCGGGTTGTTTTTGTAAGGGGATTGTCTGTTATTAACGTTATGTAATCTTTCAGTTATTTATGAAATTTGACACTCTTTTCCTCTTTCCGCTGATTAAGTAATACCGATTGGTATTCCTTTAATCATGAAGGGGGTTTTTAACGAGGCCTCCACTTCCTATAAAAAAAATTAAACATATTTATCTGGGCATATTTTGAACCTACTAAATATCTAATCCATGTTACATTTTAATGCCATGCTGCCCCTTGATGGACCATATGTTGATTTATTCCAACTTTATGAGTAGGCCTTAATTTTTAACTATTCCAAAACGTTAGGATTTTTTTTCAGTGTATCACATTGTTGTCAAGGTTAGCGCCAATGCGTTTCTAGGCCTTGTGACTTAGCTATAATACAATAGCGCTTCAAGTTCTATTGGATCTTGCACAATTGATGTG